TGGAATACTACTAGTAATACCCCCATTATATATCATGGAAAGAGAATCTGATGACTATTATAAAACATCACTTCTAACTGAAGATGGAATATTATTTATCAGTAGAACAAATGATATTTATGTGTATCAAATTAACTCTGAACAACCATCTTCTTCAAAATTTATTAAAAAGCTAGAAAAAGAAGGAAGTTCACCCCATATAGATGATGTAGATCTTATTGAAATGACTAATACTAATAAGTTAATTACTGTGTCTTGTGATGGAATTGTTGCAGTTTGGGAATCTTCTCATTTTAACTTACTTCAAGTTATGGGATTACAAGTTCAATCTACTGAACAAAAAAAACCTTTATTTAATATTAATTCTTTATTATCATTCCCAAGGGATAATACAGTGACATACTATTTTGCTTATGGTGGATGGATTGTTCAAATGGAAGAAAAGAATGATCAAATCATTGATGTATCACCTAAAAGAATAGATGATGCATTTGCTTTACCTTATGGAAGATATAATGTTGAAGTTACACAACTAATCAATGTTGTTGGATCTACTATTCTCGCTATTACAGCAGAAAGTGGCACAATTTATGTTCTTGAAAACGTTAAAGAAAAAAAACGTGACGTTCTTAAATTCGTAGAAAGTAGAAAATTAAACAGTAAAATCACTGCTGTTCATATGCTTGATGATGAAGATGGATCATTTATTATAACAACTAATGATGGGACTGTATTAATGTTGAAAGATTCAATGAAGGAAATGAAAAGAAGACAAGCATTATTTATGAATGAAATGCAAGGGTTCTAAATTATGTTCGTAGTTCTTTTATTTTGTTTTTTTTGGGTTGAATAAAAGACTAATACATCTTTAACTCTTATTAAAATCATGAAAACACAATAAAGTATTTGTTTAACTTGTGTTTCATTTTCGTACATACATACTCTTAATACAAAAAAAAATGAAAGGTATAGAACTAAAATGATTCAAGGAATTAATAGTCTTTTAATGATAGTTAATTGAAAATAAGAAACAACTCATAATGAATGAATATATTTTTATAGAATTAACCAATAATGAAGAACCTGATAATAAAAACATAGAAAATAACACAATTAATTGGTCTAATACATACATTCACTATTTATGTATATCTATAGAAATAAGTTGAATAAAACTCTCACTAAAGGAATTTTGACTCAACCTTAGTATGTTATATTATGAAATAACCAAAAAGTAATGAGAATGAGAATTTTATTAAATGACTTTATGAGTTAGCATAACAACCTAATAGATATTGTACAATAATACCATTATTTCAGTTAGTTTCAATAGAAAAAGGAAATAAATGGTGTGTGATTTTATAGCATTGAATAAAAATAACTTTTAAAATTCCAATGAAAATAAATATTCAAATGAATTATTGCTATTCGGTGTTTTATTTTTGAAAGTTTATTAGAAAAGAGAAAATTTCATTCAATTATTGAATAATCTTTTACAAAAAATGAACCTTTTAAATGGTTGAATCTTGTAAATCAATATGATTTTTACACTTCTAATTCCTCTTATTGTTGCTCAAAATCCTGAATGTTCAAGTGCTTATTGCAGCTCTTGTAAGACAAATCCAAATGTCTGTGATCTTTGTGCACAAAATTATATTCTTGTTGATGGAAAATGCAAATACTTCAAAGAAGTTGTTCCATATTGTGCCATTAGTGCTAAAGATGGATGTAGTGCATGTATGTCTGGATATTATTTGAAGGATGGAAAATGTCAAATTCCACCAAACTCACTTTGTGCTTCATACAAAGGAGGTAAGTGTATAGTTTGTGTTGATGGATATTATGCAAAAGCTGGAGAATGTTTTGAATGTGTTGATCATTGCTATGAATGTTCTTCTATGACACAATGTTTTGAATGTCTTGATGGATATGGATTTAATGGAGATGAGTGTGTTCAATCACTTGACCATTGTAAAGCATATTCTTATGGATCATCCACAAGATGTCGTGA